CAGATGGATTTTTCATCCATCTGCAGCTTTCAGAGCGACGGCGTCTGACAGAACCCACGGAGACCGGGGACAGGAGACAGGCTTCATTAACGGGTTTCTGTCCAACGTTTATGACTAAGAAACAGGTTGGACGGAGGACGAAGACAGTCTTCAGTCTGAGCTACACCAGCGCTGTGGAAGGACAACGTCTCAGTCTGAGAGCACTTTTATTTTCACATTAGAAAAATCTTTATATTTATTTTTTTACAAGGCCACACGGTGGCAGAGTGGTTAGTACCGCTGCCCTACAGAGTAACTGTACTGGGCTGACTGTTCACACTGATCACAGGTGTGAATGGGAGCGTGAATTAACATATTTGACCCTGGTCAACTGTCCAGGAAGTGACCGCCCCCCCCGTGTGACCACAAACACGCTCTAAAACTAAAATATTTTTACTTGATTAATATATAGATAATTTACATCTTTTTAATCATAGGTGTGAACGGGAGAGTGGACCCTCCTGAAGCGCCCCCTGGTGTTGTGCCACGGTGACCGATCCTCTGGGCTTCATAACGATACTTTTATGCACTGCTCCTCTGCAGTTGTTGCCGTTTTTCTGTTGTTTTACATTAAGTCAAAACCCAACGAGCTCCGTGACCAACACTGGTGACAAAAACAATGTAGAAAATGTAGAAAAACATCTGACTTGTACTCTAATTTCACTGTCTATTAACACTTTGCGCTCCATTAATCTGACGGATGCTAACAGCTAAATTAACACAATAGCATTTGTTTTTTGGAATTCGCTGTTTTTTTTTTGTACTACAACTTAATTCAAACAGAATCAGAAACAAACTGACGGAGAACCTCCATCAGTTTCTCCACCCGACCAAGGGCTGTGATCATTACGACTACCTTAAGGGGGCGCTGTGGAGCCATTTCTCCCACATCCGTGGTTAAACAAAAAAAAAATTTCAGAAAACTCCTTCCATTTCTTGGTCTCATTATTCCATTTTACTTTTCTCAGTTCGAGGTCTGAAAATTACGAATCCCCAGTGTTCCTGAATGCACCATTAGGCAGCTGGCTACCTCCGGTCGAACGACTCCACCGTGGCCGCTAACGAGATCCGAGAACATTCTAGACTTTAGCGATACGTAGGTGATGACGTATGAGCTAACTGAAGGTTCGGTTCAAAAGTAGCTTCAACTAAATCACCTCGACGGTAAAAGAACAGAGAGAGAAGAAAAAAAATACTCACAGAGGAGAAGAAACTAAAACAATCCCGGAGAGAAACAAACCGAGGAGTTCGCGCGCAGGTGGCGTTGATTGGAGAGAAACCGGAAGTCACGTAGGAGCAACGGAAAACAGGAGGAAAGTTTCAAAATAAAAGAGCAAATAAAAGCCCCAAAATAAATGTGCGGCGTGTTTTTAATTTAAAGTCAAATAAATCAATATTACTAAATTAAAAAATATATATTTTAAATAAAAAATTCTCCTGTTCATTGAGTTCAACAAATTCAACTCGAAGCAGATTTCTAACTTTAGTTTCCAGACCAGAATAAACGATGTGACCTGCTGACCTGGGTGAGTTTGGTTCGTCCTCCTCCGTCGATGAACTGACAGCGCAGGTCCACCGATTCGTTGGGGTAAGCCTCCAGCTCTTCCTCCACCCGGACCTTCTGGGCCACGACACCTTCAGACCAGAGAGAAAGAGAAATGTTTACACAAACATCCGTAAAAAAAAAAAACCAAAAAACGACGTTTAACGACAGAGTATAGAGAAGCCGAGTCGTGGTTGATGAAGAGACTGGACGGGGGAACTCCAAACGTTACTCTGCAGGTGAGAGACGGGGGAGGCACGATGGAGGGAGACACCAGTGGAGTGAAAACAAAGCTCTGAAGATGTGTGTGCAGCCTGAGGGGCCGTGTTGGTGAAGAGGAGGTGTTGATTAAGAGCTGTTCACTCAGCCTCCCTCAGCTGTGTGTGTGTGTGTGTGTGTGTGTGTGTGTGTGTGTGTGTGTGTGTGTTTGTTCCTCAGTTCTTCATCAGGAACTGACGTCTCCACGGAGACGAGGACTTTCAACAGAGTCAGGCCTGGACTTTATTTACTGTTCACAGGATTTATTTAACCCTGGTGCTCTCTCTCCCTCTCTCTCCCTCTCTCTCCCTCTCTCTCCCTCTCTCTCCCTCTCTCTCCCTCTCTCTCTCTCTCTACATATATATATGTATATGTCCATGAAATGTACTTTTTTTTCAACCTTAAAGCGTGAAATGTCAAAAAAATCAGAGCAGCATTTAAACACGTCTAAACTGGAACGTTTCTCAGCTGTCTGTTGGTCTGTCAGTCTGTCGGTCTGTCAGTCTGTTGGTCTGTCAGTCTGTCAGTCTGTCGGTCTGTTGGTCTGTCAGTCTGTTGTTCTGTTGGTCTGTTGGTCTGTCAGTCTGTCAGTCTGTCGGTCTGTTGGTCTGTCAGTCTGTTGTTCTGTTGGTCTGTTGGTCTGTCAGTCTGTCAGTCTGTCAGTCTGTCGGTCTGTCAGTCTGTTGGTCTGTCAGTCTGTCAGTCTGTTGGTCTGTCAGTCTGTTGGTCTGTCAGTCTGTCGGTCTGTCGGTCTGTCAGTCTGTCGGTCTGTCGGTCTGTCAGTCTGTCGGTCTGTCGGTCTGTCGGTCTGTCAGTCTGTTGGTCTGTCAGTCTGTTGGTCCTGGAAACAGGAGAGAGATTAAAAAAACAAGAATCCAGAAATAAATACGACAGACCAACAGGCTGACAGACCAACAGGCCGACAGACAGGGGGCGCCGTGTGCATCACCATCCCAGTCACATCCTGACTGAGTCCCAGCTGTTTCTTCTTCTTCTCCTTCACGTTCTAACACAGATAATTGACTTCATGTCCACTTTTATCTCAGTGACTGCCAGCAGCTGTCAAACACTAACACCAGCCAAAGGAGCACATTAGAGGAGACGCCGAGGGTCGGAGGAGCAGGCCTTCAGATGTCAAACAGAGGGAGGGGGGAGGGGGGAGTCAGAGGGAGGCAAAATGTCCCTGAATTACCTGAAAATATCTGTCTTTGAACCAGTGATCTTTGTGTCCAGGAATCTACAGTTAGTCTTTTATTGTACAGATGACATCAGCACGTGACATCATCACGTGACCTCATCACGTGACATCATCACGTGACCTCATCGTGTCAGTCTGAGCCTCAGCGTACGTTCACGGTGCAGTCGTTTCACGGTTCAACGCCCAGAACCTGAAGCTGCTAATCGACGTCTGACAGGTGGTAATTAGAGGCAGGTTACATTTGGTTTCCCAGTAACAGGACACTGATCAACGAGAGGAGGGGGAGACGGGGGCGACGGGGGGGAGACGGGGGGGGGAGGGGGGGGAGATGATTGCACACAAACCA